GTCTCATCTTTCTCACCCGAACCACCACCCACCCATTCCCACGATTCCTGAAAGCAGGCTGAAGAGGGCCTTCCGCCCTACCTTCCGGCATAGTCCGGAGGGACTGCCCACCCACCAGCATTACTGGCTTGTGGGAATGAAACAACCAAAAGTTTTTGTTTTTTTTTTTTACTCAACATTACAACAAAGAAGTATTGAACCGGTCAGGAATAAAACTTGAACATCCCGCGTGGCAGACAAGCATTCTCCACAGAATCGTCGATGCGTTTTGATTTTTCTTACGGTATTAATTATAAACCACATTAAATTCTTTACGTGCCTTAACTGCAACATACAAATTATTTTTGCTAGAACGCATATAAGTATAAGGTAAAAAATTCTCAGGCTGGCTGCACGTGTCATGTTTCCTGACTGAGTGCACGTGCCATATTTCCTGACTGAGTGCAGGTCCCATGTTTCTTGACTGAATGCTCGTGCCTTTAGTTCGAATAACAAGTTTTAACTTGTTCACTGGAGAAGTTTGTTCACACGAATTTTTGCAGTAGACGTCTTGTTTTTAAATAAACTTGAATATCGTGTAATAATAAAATTATTCGTTTTGGATTAACTCCTAAGAAAATTTTTACAAAGCTGACAAAAGTTTACGTGGTATCTTCGCCTTCCATTGCTGAATTTAAACGTGGTCGAAGATAGTTCACGTGAAGGATGACCAAACAAAGCCACCACAAAGGTAATTATCGAAGAAGTGGATGTTATCGTGTTGAACAACGGCTGATTGAAGATGAGTCATATAGCTGTGGTATTGGGGATATTGGAAAAGAGAGTAGGAAATATCTTGCACAAAGAATTAGGGATGCAAAAGCTCTTTTCATGGGTACTTCATTTGCTGAATGCCGATTAAACGAAATTAGTAGCAATTAATTCATAGTGACGATTTCTCGCGGAGAAATGGGCCCACCATTACACGCTATAAACGAAACAGCAATCCAAGCAGTGGTGGGGAGCCGGCGATTCAAATCCAGAGAAAGCGATGTCGATTTCATCTGCCGGAAAGGTCATGACCAGTATGTTAATTGATTACTATGAAAGAGACAGAACAATTACAGGCAAATATTATTCGAATCCTCCTAATCAGCGTGATACCAAAATTCTGGAAATGAGGCCTAGTGTGAAGAAGAAAATAATCGTTTTTTCCCAGGACAACGTAACTGCACATAAGAGTGTGGTAGTGATGGAGAAATTTAGGATACGATTTGCTCGTGACCCAGACTTCTATCGATTCTTAAACTTGAAGAAATGTGCTTCTTGGATGCGCTTCTCGTCGAATGAAGAAGTTGAGAGGGTTGTATGGGAATATTTTCACAGCCTCTCACTTCTGGGAAGAAGTACTGTTATTGGAGAAACGCTGGACCCCAAGTGTGTTGAAGTCAAGGGAGAAATAAAATATTTAAATGAAATCGCAGTCTTTCATTGTCAGGCCGAGAAATTTTCGGTTTACCTTCGTGATGGAACGGTACCATTCAAATGATACGAATTTCATTCTTCTCCTTAAATATATAATAAATATCGGAAAAACGGATTTTTGTAAAAAGCTGCATTAATGGAGTGTACAACTACATCATTGCATATGAACTAAATGGCGCTGTAAAGACCCAGCCAGTACTTTTTCTGAAACCTCTGGGATTGGCAACAGAAGTCTTGATAATATTTATTGGGTGAATATATGACAAAGGTATTTTCAGTGACCCCAGAAAAAAAGTTATGTTTTCGAATTAAGATTAAATGTCTCTCAACTTCGTAATGTGTATGTATGTATGTCCGATGTTATGGGCCAGAAGATCAATTATTTTTTTTAAGTTTTACAAGCGCCAGGGGAAAATGGGTAGTCAGGGGAGTGACACCATCTACCTTCTCTTCGTTATTCTTTTTTAGCAGATCGGCAACTTTTTTTAATTACTCTATTCCGTAATTTCTGTTGACTTTCTGATCGTTTTTTAGCGGTTCGTGCAACATTATTTTGCACTTCATAGTTCGTTGTTGCCTTTGAGTCATATCTTTAATACTTTTTATTTGTCCAATTTCCTTTTTTCTTTGATATTTCAGTTTTTCTTTTTCTTTTAACTGGGCTTTACTGGATCATTTGTTCTTCTCTGTTAACGTAATTTTTCAGCTTCACATTTTTTCAGACTTTCTTCGCACGTTTTTTTTTTTTTTAATTTTTGCCATGATTCTAGCTTATATATGACATAAGCGAGAAATGGAACAAATAAAAGTAGATGTTAAAATAGGAAATAATGATAAGTTACAATTTAGTCATTCCCCTCGCCTTAATGTATTTCCCCTGGCATAAAAAACATCAGAGGAGTGACGCCAGAATAGTGACAAAATCGCCAATAACCTCAAAATACAGCTAAACAAGTGTGTGCTTGTATATTTCTATGCAATAAGCTCTACTGGCTCACAATTATTATTATTTTCTATGAACGAAAATTTACGTAAAAATAAAATGTAAGAATGTACACTTGCCAGGGTAAATACTGCAACGACTGGCACAAACACGCTGTATGGCATAGTAATGGCTACTGACGCAACGCCATTTTGTAAATCTACGTCGTAATTGGCTTGTTGCTATGTTCACGTTATACAATACGCGCCAGTCAAGGTCAAACGTTGGCGTTTACGGATTTTTAGTCGATAATTTTAACTAAAGTTCGCCAGGTGAGATTAATAGTTATTTTGAAGATGCAGAACAATAAATTAATTGATTTTGTGAAAGATTTTTGATGGGGCCGTTTCAATCCCAATACTGTAGATTGACCCTATTATCTATTGGTAATAGACGTGGTTAATGTTGTTTAGTTGTGATTTTGTAAAATAAAGCAATTCATTGAAACTTATATACCTGTGCAGTGTGTTTGATGTTACCATATTGACATTGTGGCTTACGGATAAGTATATGATAATGATAAAAGATTTGTTCAAAATATATGTGCAAATAACTTTATTTATACTTAACTGTAAAATACATAAAAAAAATTATCAGTAGGTACACTGTGATTATGCACGATCGATAATAGAAAGTACCTTATTGGCAATGCTTAAAATGACCTGGCTTACTGTACTTTGGGCTTCGACTAATAAGTTATTGATTGTTTCAACAACTTCGTCGCCCTCAACTGAAATATCTGCACCAAATTGATTAAGTTCGACCCTTGCCTGTATCTGAAACATGAAAGTTTATTGTAAATCGTAAATATCGATTGCACTTCAAAAAACGCAAATACTAATTAGAAAATTGTGGAATACAACTCCTTTGATGACAATTTTGGAATGTATTAGTTTGCAAGAATAATAAAATTCTACTTACGGAAACAGATTGAAGTTGGAGGAGAACTGAAAGAGCCGTCACTCGTAGAGGTGATGTAGTGTAAGAAGCACTGACGTCAACATTCACGCCGCCTACTGATGCACTAAAACATTTGATCGAATTGTAATATGACAAAGGCATTAACTACTTAAAGAGTTGAGTGTAAATGTAAGAACAACCACACTTTAAAACAATAATTAGGGTAATTGTTAAGTGCTGACTCGACAGTTAATTAATACGAGAACTTTGTTCATACTTTGGCTGCTATATTTACAAGCAGTGTTACATATAAAACGGGATTATTGATGCTTTCTATGTATAGCATTAAAAAGCATTTATCATCTTCGGATGTAGAAAGTGAGTGTGTTTAACCCGTAGGAAAAATTTCCATTAAAAAAATGCCATTAAATTACCACTGATAACAATTAATGGTAATAAATGGAGAATTGCCAATGGGATGAATGGGATTTCCACTAGAATTCTAGTGGAAATCCCATTCCCGAACTCAATGGGATTTCCATTGCTGAACGCAATGGCATTACCATTGCTGAACGCAATGGAAATTCCATTGAGTTCCATTGGAACTTCATCAGCATGCTTTTTTCCATAATCCATATTATTTTGTTGAGAATTTGGTTCTTCAGGTACCTGAACCAAGTATTTCATTTCTTAATTAATTATTTCATTGGAATTCTTTGGGAAATAAAACTTTTCCATTCATATCTAACGATAAGAATATTAATGGGATTATTCAAAATTGTAACAGTTGATTTTCTATTTATCTATCTATTTATTTATGAATGGTTTTATATAGAATTTATAAATTTTGCATTGGTTCATTGAAAATCAATGGAAATTTTTCCTATGTAAATATTAATGGAATTATATGTAAATGGAAACAATTATTTTTCCATTTATGCCAAATGGTTTTGAATGGAATTTACAAATTTTCCATTGATTCCCATTGAACTTCAATGGAAATGTTTCCTTCTGGTAAAAGTATCACTTTTTGGGTTCGTGTTGTGTAAAATATTTCTGCTAATGGTAAATACAAATTGCACCGTCAAATGTAATTTAATTCTTGCTTTTCAAACGCTGTATTGTGAGATGAATTTTGATAATTCATAAACTTACTCGAGGGTTGGTACACCAGCGCTAAGTCCTGTGGAAATTGATAAAAGTAGGCTGTCTACGTTAGCAGAAAGTTTAGGGAGTTGAAAAACAGCATTTATATTTTCGCCATCATCTACTAACGATGGAAAGACGAACTTGGAGAAGTCAGAAACTGAGGCTGACTTCAAAGTAGCGGTTACTCTGAAAAAAGTTCATTTACTTTATATAGGTACATACGGATAAATAAATACACAATAATAACGCTTAGGAGCCTTTCATTTATTACGGAAGATGATTTAGAGGGAGAGAGGGGTCGACTATGTCTTCATTTTTTCCTTTTGATTCATACGTAATAAATATTCAATAAGGAGGAAGGAGGTCGGCCTATTTATATAGGGGGGAGATGATCAAGAACTAGGATAAACAGTTTTACGTAATAAATAAATGGCCCCTTAGAAGAATCTTCAAAAACCAGCCTATTACAATCTGAATTTTCTTTATATAAAGGTTTTAAATCTAAAGTAAATAGTTTTATTACTATTTTTGGAAGATGTCAAAAATCATTTAGGGATAAATAAACCATTTAAGAAGATGCCCCAATACAGCACAAAGTTATGAAATTCATTATAAACAGTGCTTCAAGCTGCGTTATTATGTCAGAATCGTGATGCTATATGTGACGATCAAAATTGGCAAAGTCCGCAATAAATTATCTGTGAGAATGGACGTATCTTCTTTCTTGTTTCCACCAGGAACCGTAATCATTTGCTGCATTTTGAACACGCCTTTGTTAAGTTAGGAGATGCTTCATGAATAGTACAGTCAAAATCAAAACAAATAACCGAATAATGGTAAGCGGTGCAGCGGTTAGAGGTTGCTTAGGTACGCAAAAGATCAGGGTCGGCTTTATAATTCCCTGGTTGGAATTATATATTTGGAGAAGCGTCTTCTTCCAAAATTCCTGAAAGTCCGATGCTAGTAACATGTTCAAATTCTACTTATCTGCATGTCTTTGTGTTACACATTAATTGATGTAATGTTATTCCTTTTTTTATCAGTTTCCGCTGCAATTCTTAACTGACGTCTCTTTTGTATGTTTCTGATATTCGCTACAACGTCTGCCGTGAATAAAAATAGGCGTTGTTGAACTTTCTTTAAAGTCCGATGCTGGCAACATGCTCAAGTTCTGCTTGTCTGCATCTCTTTCTGATACACATTGATTGGTGTAATGTTATCCTTTTTTCTTTATTAGTGTCCGCTGCAATTCTTAACTGACGTCTCTTTTCTATGTTTCTGATATTCGCTACAACGTCTGCCGTGAATAAAAATAGGCGCTGTTGAACTTTCTTTAAAGTCCGATGCTGGCAACATGTTCAAATTCTACTTATCTGCATCTCTATGCTTTACACATTAATTGATATAATGTTATTCCTTTTTTATCAGTGTCCGCTGCAATTCTTAACTGACATCCCTTTTCTATGTTTACGATATATTCCCTGTAACGTCTGTCGTGAGTAAAAGTAGACGTTTTATTAGCAACCGTTCCAGTCTAGATAGTAATTAAGTTTAAAAAAGAAAATAAATGCGACAATTTTTTGCGGACAATGCCAATTTTAAACGTCCCAACTGTAGCGCGCCTGTCTGCCGTAAAGTGAAAACTAAATTGAATCTCTCTTCTTGAGTACTTTTAACGCAGAACCTAAGCAGTGGACTCCAGTTATTTCGACTGGAATCTAATTGTCACCTAACGGTCTCAGCAGCATAGCTGTATAGCGGCATACAAAATTTGAAAAATCTAATAAACCCAATTCAATCCTAGCCTAATACAAAAGAAACGTTACGTTACGTTGGGTTAACATCATGAGAAACGAACATTAAAGGCCAACACACACTAATATGACGAACGAAACAGCCAAACCGAATAGAAGCGTGGAGAATAATGTCGTAACAATACGTATTAAAATATTCGTTGAATCTGAATATTGAAATATGGGGATTAATCCGAATATTTTGTTTGATAATTCGTATTCGAAATAATCTAGTTTATTTAGTATGCGTATAGCTATATATATATAGTTTATTGATGTTACTCTGCGCTCACAACAAGCTAGATTAATGAAACTTAAGTTTTCTCCGCGCTTCTGTTCGTTTCGCTTTTATTTCGTTCTTCATAGTGCGCGTCGGCCTTTAATCTTTAATTCAGTAGATGACGCTTAAGACGATTGATAAAGACACTGAAAATTATTTCAATGATGAACCGTATATTTATAATGGAATAATATAGTTTGCAGTTGAGGACATTGTGTAGGTAATTGTGAATTGCATGCACAAAAATTTTTAAAATGAAAACATTTTTACCATAAAATAGGAGAAAGTGGATATTTACCTGTCAAGCAAAGTGACAGAAACGTCAGTAACTCTTGCAGGATCAATTTCTGCAAGAATTTCTTTGATTTGTTCAACAGTACTGTTAAACTTCGAATCCAATGGAATTACAGCTGAAACAAATCAATGTTATTTATTTGAAAGAACGGTAAAGTGTACCTAGTACATTTTTTAACGATTTGCCAAAAAAGAAAGTTGATTGTTTCAAAGGTTTAAGAGCAGAAACTGTAACATTTAAGTGCATCTATAAAAGTTGGCCACATTTTGATACATCTGACTGATCTGAATCGAAAGTAGTCTGACCCTGTTCGAATTACTTAAACATTTGGATTATGTACCTAACCAAACATATTCAAAAAGTTATTCAATGGTCGTAAAAATATATTTATTGAAACCAACTACCTTATCGCATGTTATTGCTATAAGGAGCTAATCCCTATTCCCTAGTTTTTTACCAAAATTTTCTAATATTTCGCTGGAAGTCTTTTATGGCAAAAAAGAATAAATAAAAAATTTTATTTGACGCGGTTCCATATATTTTATATTGATCTGTTGAAGGTTGAATTATGTTGAGATAGTTCCCCGATTTGTAACTTCAATTATTTCATTTCTCATGGAATTTCATTTTATTCGCAGATAGTTAAGGATGTGGAATGTTCTAGTTTTAGGGAATTGCAAATATTAGCTCAGGATACGAAAGAGTGGAGGTGCGTGTCCAACCATCGTAATTAATTTATTAATAATAAAAATTTGTCAACTCGTTGGCAGTTGTAGTAGTTGACCAACTAATGTAGCTGACTTAGCAATTACTTTCTTTATGAATAATATTATAACTTACCTGCACTTGCAGAACTTAAGCAAGCTAACAGTCCTAGAAAAACGAATACTTTCATGATGATAATTAATTTAGGTTTTAGGGGTTTGTCTTCTTTCACGACACCTTATTAAGGAATTGATTGACTTCTGATACTAAAAAAAAACGGTTAGTCCACTTCCTTTTATAGTTGAAATACTTTATCATTTCTAGCGAAGGAAGTGATAAAAATGCATTTATAGTACTATGTTTTGATAGATTTTTCTAAAGTACAAGATAAACAGAGCAGATACATAGATGTCGCAATTTTTATCTTTAAAGGAGGAGCTCTGCGAATAGTGTAAACAGGTATTAAGTATTATTTTTTTAGTTGTTTACAATTTACCTACCTTTACCATCTTCATTTTATGGCTACGTTATTAACCGAATTCTAAAACGAGGGTTTGCAGTTGAGCCCATATCTATACATATTCGGATTTTGAGGTTACATATTATTATTATTAAATAAAAGCAGTTGGGCCATAGGAGTTGAAACGCAGTGTACCTCCTGACGCATAAGAAATAGTCCTTGGGCGCCCCCCATGTATCGAGTTTGATCATCTTAAGGTACAATTCCAAAAGAGCAGGATATTGAGAAGACGAAAGATGGGTATCGGCGCATCCTTTTCAATGTCACAGGACACCGAAAGCTAAGCTCCTCCACACAGAATCTACAGTTAGGATTTCCCTCTTCTAGTGCTATCCTGAGTGTGTTCTTCCGCAAGTTTCCACGACCAGTAGGAATACCGATCAGCCTGTCACTGTTTTTACGTCCTTTCTACTCAATGCTATATGTTTTGCTTATTTTTGACGAAGATTTTGTTTGTTCTATATTCCTTGGTGTTGCTCCACACCTTGGTATGCTAATTTGCATATTTTGGCTAAGATTAATCAAGCTATTTGTAAACGAATGCTCTTCTGAGGTCAAATTGAAATTCAGCAACAAAAACTTAATTGAAAATGATTATTCTTTGGAATTTTCTAGTCTGAATAAAGGCCCTAGAATCTAGACCATAGAAGTGTGAAAGAACTAAACCAGATCCTAGATGTATACATTATAAGCGCACCTATATATCAGCTGTGCGACTCTCCAGGATATATGATCTACAAATCTAAACATACTAATTTTACGGGCCTTGTCGAATGATGAGGATAACGTGGATAGAAGAGGTTAGAAATGAAGAGGTATTAGAAAGAGTAAAAGAACAGGGGACTCTATGGAAGCCAATAAGAAATAGTCGAGATAGGTTGGTAGGACAACTTCTCAGGCATTAAGGTCTAGTCAGAGACATATTAGAGGCAGAACCAGGAGTTAGGAGGGGTAGAGGTAGACCCAGGTTATATTACTGTTAGCAAATAGCTAAGGATGTGGGATGCTCTATTTTTAGGGAAATGCGAAGTTTAGCTCAGGATAGGAAAGAGTGGCGGTACGTGTCGAACCAGTCTTAGGACTGACAACCTTATGATGATGCCGAACATTTATAAATCCTACAAAATGTAGTATTTTGCAGTTGGCGGTCATTACGTTGTTTGTAGTAAATCATAGAACGCTCTCTTAAGACAGCAGGTAGAGTTAGTCTGTGCCCTGTCGAAATTGTCTACAAGGTGCTGATGAGACCCAAAGAGATCGAAATGGTGGTTCACATCTGGCAGTATCGACAGAATACAATACTGACTATTGTTTGAACTTTTTCTATTTGTTTCGGTGACTACCACGTAGGGGGTGACAGTTTGACAAGTTGGTATTCTTGTGGATCTTATCGAACATTTATCAATCCTACAAAATAAAACATTCTACAGATGACGTTCATTACGCTGTTTATAGTAAATCATGACTATTGATTGATAAATCCTTGAACCTGTATTAGCAATGTAATAATGTAAATATAGATAGTAATAATCTGATAAAGGTCCTGGATTACGTTTTGTTATATAGGTGTATTACAGTACCTAGTTTTTGGAATGTATCATTAGTTATCTGAAAACGCATGAAATAGCTAAAGGAAAACACTTTACAATTTCCTTGACCTTTGCAGTGTCAACTTTGTTTATTCGCATTCTGTTGATTGATCTTCTTATCTTAATTTCCGCTCTTAAAGCGTAGCTTTCCCCGCTTAATGTATTTCATCACACATTATGGCTTATCAGTTTACTTGAGAGGCATATTTTGAATACAAATTTCTTTCACAATGCTGCAAATATTTGGCCGAAGTTATTGTTGCAGATTTAGGTAAATTAAAAGTTGTTTTTAAAGTTAATAATTGATGTAGAGAAAAATCAATACAAAAAATACGGGACTACTGTGTAGAATTAAGTAATTTGAATATACTTTTAATTAATTTTTTCCATAAGCAATTGTATGTGGCGAATGTTCGAAGGGGGTTCAATCTAAAGCCAATAGAGATCAAAACCAATACGTATAATTTTAGGCACGTTTTTGCAGAACTGTCGAAACTCAAAATAAAAAGAAAATGCACACATTAAACCAAAATTAAAAAGAAATCTAAAAATATAACAAAACCAGTGTACCTGCTGGAGCCCTTGCTGCAACTACCTCCTGTGTCTTCAGTAGAAAAAATTATTTAGTTTCCTCTGTATTCTTTTACTTCTATTTGCTTTCTAGGTAATGTATCTTAGGTAATAGGAACTTACTTTGCAGTTCCTCCAGAATTACCTTGATTTAATGCTTAAATTAGAGACGCTACATTAACTTTTACGGGTCATCTTCTTCTCGAACCTTCTTTCACCAATCAATCATCATGTTCATCCCTTCTATTGCATTAATTCCTTTTACATTTCACCAATACCACTATCGTTCGAGAGATGCCCAAACATACTTCTCTCTTTCCTTACAGTTCACTCTAATAAATACATACACCGGGCCTATAGACCGCTACAAGGAAGTGTTACATGTATCATGAACGTATGACCTGAGACCATCTGGATGACTTTTTTAAGCACGGAAATACATGTTTGCATATAATCTATTTAATAATGGCGCGAATAATTAACGTCAACAAATCTTAATTTGAACTAAAATATGAGGTTTTAAGAGCCGAAACTGAATTATTTGTGGCTATAATAGGCATTTATGTACCATTTGAAAATCGTTTATTATGAAAGAAAATAGTAAATTTGAATTGATTTATGGTTATCGTTAGCTTTTGCAACCGGCTTTTTTGATTTCTGCTGCTAAGTTGTTAGAATTTTAATACTGCTTCTTCAGATATAGGTATTTAAACAATTAAAAAACTTACAGAAGAGTATTTCTTGATTCGTATAAGTAGGTATATTTTCTAATGATATTTTTGAAAGCAAAGGCCTTAAAATATTACAAGATTATACTCTATTTAATTCCCTCTAAAATAATCTCTTAGATCGTATACCAAATCGCTTAAAGTCGAACGTCCACCAAAGAGATGTGGCGTATGATCTGGCATATGATCTAGCAAAAGGCTTGCATCAAGGATGCTATTTCAAATGAAACCAATGCTAGCAAATGAATCAGCGCTCACTGAGCCACTGTTGCCAACTTACTACAGGAAAAAATCCCACGTGCAGTTCCAAAAAATCCCATATTTTCTCTAAAAGTCCCTCCAACTTATTATTATCTTTCAATTCGTTAATTTAATCGTTTATTCGAAGAAAAATATGTACAATATTTCTGTAAACATGGACAACTTTTCGTGTCGATAGCACAATATCGATAATTTTATTGTATGTAGTTATCTCGTTTCCCAAAAATGCAGACAAAACCGGGCCTTGGGGGTTTAGATGTTCGGATTTCGGAACAATACACCAATTCCAACATTTATTTTTATTAGTTTTAACATCTGTTTCTGATCTGTTGACTGGTCACTCTCAAGAAGACCATACAATGATACGAATACAATATACAATTCAAAAGAGTTCAAGACAATTTATTGTAGGGACTTGAGCAGGTTGACCATCAGCAGGCTTGAACGCAGGTCGCCGTCGTATATCAACCGTTTCATCGTACAGCATTATACGATTATAACTGACAATATTTTACGTTTACAATTAGAAAAATGAGCGCCTTCATAATGTGTAATCTAAATATCAGGTCAACAAAATCAAACAAAACCAATCAGAAAATGGCAAATTACAAAAAACCCCGCGAAAATAAGGAAAAATTCCTTTATCCCTCGAGAGCATCAAAAATCCCTCTAATCGGGATAAATCCCTCGAAGTGACAACACTGCATTCTATACACCAGAGCCAGTCAAACTTTATTTTTTTAGAAGCGATTACCTAAGAAGACCCTGTTTCCAAATTTTCAACAGAAACAGATACAAAAACGGGCAATATCTGTCTCTCTTCCTCAGTAACCAAGCCCCCTCCGTAACCTAGCCTTCTGGCTATGGTTATACAGAAAGAGATACAGGTATCGTTCCACACTATACCCGTCTCTTTAAAGTCACGAAGAAAAGAAACATTAGATTTGTTGTATTCCTCTCTCACTTGCTCTTGCTGAAGCACCTAGGAATGTGAGGAGCGGAATTTGACCTCTGCTATATACCTATACCAGATCCGGCCAGACTCCGCCCGTAACGCTTCTAGGTACTCCTGTAAGAGCAAGTGAGAGACGTATATAAATCTAATGTCGTCCCTTTTTCTCGTGANTGTTGGAGCGCAATTCATGATGCATCGTTTGAATATTGAAAAAACAATTTTGTTATTCGCAGTTTAAACTTATAAATACGTGCCTGCAACAAAGGAACTTTATTATCACATTATGTAGGTTTTTCCTAGGCAGGTATCGTCCCTTCGCGCTGGTCATCAGATGGGTCGATGATCTTCCCATCCATAAACAATTTTGTGATTGTAGTCACGTAGGCACTAACCATAGCTTAAGGTCAAAAACACCCCACTAACATACCTCCACCCCCTATATTTTGTTGTTCTATTTAAGCATCTTTTCTATGTAATAAGCTCATTACGTTCAAGCATTCAGTTCATCAATAGTTCTTTCGTTGTAGTTATCTTTAAGTATTTTTTTTTGGTGTTAGTTGTAGTGTATGTTGTTATTAAAAGTTGAAAATTCACATTAGTTATTATTGCTCGTTCTATCATTCTAAGAAAAACCACAGATAGAAAATAT